GTACCAACTGTCGAGGACCCAAATTTGCAAGCGATTTGATAAGAATCACGGTTAGGTTTCCTTTGAATGACCTTGCATGGTAGAGATCTTCGATCCATCTTTTGTTTTATATTTTGTTTCAATTCTGTTTTTAATAAATTCACGGTTTCTTTTAACATTTAAAGGGCAGCATGTCAAATAATTTCATGTTTTGAATGTATAGGCCGAGATGATTGTAATATTAAGTAATAGTATTCTAGGCTAAAATATTTGAAATTGTAATAAAATTATAAAATAAAATAAAAATAAAATAAAATAATAATAATACATTGTTATTCGTGTTCACTGTTTCTTTGAATTTCTATAATTTCTTAGACGTTAATGTTTTCATCGATAATTTCATTAATATAATCTGATACAATCATCATTTCAGGTCAAAATTCTCTAAATTTAGAGCATCCAAATTCAGAGCCTTCAACGCTTTCTATGGGACCTTCTATGCCTTCTAATTTGAGATCTCCCATGTCCTCTAATTCAGGACCTCCATGCCTTCTAATTTGGAACCTTCCATGATTTCTAATTTGGAACCTTCCATGATTTCTAATTTGGAACCTTCTATGCTTTATAATTCGGAACTTTCCATGCTTTCTAATTCAGGATCTTCCATGTTTTCTAATTTGATATCTTCTACTATGGTGCAATCTAAAGTGAATCTCCTGATTCATTAATATCCAATTTTTATTCTCATCATAATTATCATTTTCCACTATTTATTAGAATATCACTTGAATTTTGTATCACTATAAGGGTGTTGATTGAATACCATATAATAGGGTGTTGTTTTATGAGAAGAACAATTTGATTGTTCATAATAAAAAAATTAAATAAAGTAAAATAAAAATAAATAAAATATAATATAATATAATAAAAAATAAATTAAATTAAAAGAAGATAATAATAAAAATAAATAAATAAAAATACATATATGTGACCCTTTTAAGCCAATACGCCAGCCAGTTCCTCCTGTATCTTTCATCCACGCTCCTAGTTTTACTTCAAGGATGTCATTACTTTTCTCCACAGTACTTGACATCAGGGTTTCGAGAATGACCAGCATTTTCATAAATGTATTACCAACAAACTCCCTCCATTGTCAGTATGGAGAATTGCAAGGGGACCATATATAAAACAAAAATTAAGGAACGTTGTAGCAGCTTCTTCATCTGATTTAGACTGAGCTGGA